AGGTTTAATAAAGCACACCTAACTAACCTGACAGAGGGTTAATTTAAAAAAAAAAAAAAAAAAAAAAAAAAAAAATTTCTCTTTGTATTGTGGCTGGCTTCTTTTAATTTTCAAGAAAATTATCAAAAAAAATTTTTTTTAGAAAAACTGGGAATCAGCGAAAAGAAATTTTTTTAATATAGATATCAGATTTTATCTTTTTTTTTTTTATTTTTGACCCTTTGTCAAACTAGGTATATAGGCTTTATTAAATATATATATACTTTATATTAAAAAATCTATTGCTAAAGCTAAATCTCTATCTAATTCACTTGTTTCTATTTTAAAGAATTATTAAAACTCTAAGTGCAACTTCAAAGGTGATTTATCACTCTGTTAGTATATCAGATTTTATTCAATTAAAAAAAATTTTTATATATACTTGTAGCCAAGCTAGATTATCAATTTATTAATCAATTGAAAATATAAGTATATTTTTATTCAAGCAGCATGATATATACTACAGATAAACTATTATTCTAATCTAACTAACTTGTTATAAGTATAATAGCCTCTAAGTTTGGCCTTGAGGACAATATTTCACTCTGCAGTGTCTTTGAGTAAAAACCCTTCTAATCCACTGTATCATTGTTAGCAAGATGTCACTATCATATGTTGATTCAAGCTGCTGGAATACAGAAAACTGCAAAAGAATAGATTGAAAAAAAAGATGGACAATTTTTAAAAATGTTTAAGTAAACAACAAGAAAATTAAAAAATAAAATTAAAAAAAAAATATTTCTAGCTTCCTCCAAAGACCTACTTCTCAAGACTTTTTCTCAATAAGAAATATCTAATTGGAATATCCTTTCTTTTTTTGATCATTATTTATTCTTGATCTTGATTTTCTTCTTGTATACCATTTAAGGAGACTTATCACCTAGTGAAAATCTTTATTTATAAGACACACTTGGTCCCAATCTTCTTTGGACAATAATTTTTTATTTATCTGCAATAGATGGGTAATTTATGATGGATCCCAGGTTCTTATGTGACCTAATAGAAACTGAATTATGTTGTTTTAGTATGATATCTTTTAACAGCTATGTTTAGATAAAAAAATTTTACTAGTGTATATCTTCTATTATCCAAAAAGTCATTTTACAAATATTTTTTTGCCTCACAATGATAAGAGAGTATCAGAAAAGCAGTGGGGATCCTTATCGATTGTGATATTTTTCAACAACTTTTGAGGAAATGCATTCTCAACTGTACCCAAAGAGTTGAAGCTTAGTATAGACTAGAAATCGTTCAGTCTTATTACCTAATTAGAATAAAAAGGAGATCTTGGTCTTGAACTTTGTCTAATCAAAATAATAAGAGAGAAAGATCTCAGCTTGAAAAAATAGTAGCTTTTTTATTACCTGAAGACTTATTACCCATATCTTATTGATCTTATGGAACTTGATCTGTAGATTAAATCAATTAAAGAAGTGGAATAGATATGAGGTATCAATCAACTCTTTCAATCACTGATGACATCATCAAAATATATGAGATGATTAATAGGGGCTTGTTTATATTCAGTCACTAATATATTTTGTGTCAACCAATCAGATGCCAGGTGACATTGTGCTATTAGAAATTCAAGATCAAACTGAGATAGGCAAAATTCCTCAAGAAAACTGTAAAAACAATAGATACTTTAAGAAAGTACAAGACAGTATATGAGAAGATGAATAATAAATCTTTCTCTATCAACAAAACCTTTATTTTATGTTACTTCTAGCTCTGTAAGGTGACACTCCACTTGTTAGTTCTTTTACTTTCTAGAACCCTTTTGTCCTTAGTAAAAAAAGTACATACTTGAGTTTTTTTTTATTACTAGAAATCCAAGTTTTTATTCAAAGGAGTTTATAAACAAGTAAGAGAGTAGAAAAGATACGTGAAGACAAACTTCAAGTTGTTTTACTGAAAATATAAAGACTTTATTAGTAAAGAAGTATGAAACTTCTTATGAACATCTTTTTTGTGTATAGTTAGAAGATCAACATAAAGAGTTTTTTTGAGATTTTATCCAATTATATATAAATACAGTATATATTTATATTTATATTTATATTTTTTAATTTGCAATTATATCACAATAACTTGTCTTTATTGGGAAATTAAAATAAAATCTACAATAGTTTATAGATTTTCACAAAGTGACTACCTCATCTTTATACATAAATGCTTTAAGTTAAATTTTAAGGACAGTATTATACTTTCTTGATAAATTAATTATAATATCTATCTACCAAGATTATTGCCAACAGTTTATAACTATTGATTGATCTGAAAATTAATGAATTGCAAAGTTAAAAAGAAGAAAAGAAACAATTCAAGGCTCACCAAAAAATCTAAAAATAAAAATAAACTCTTTTTAAAAGAGATCCATCTAATTGAAATAGTTTTCTTACTTTACTTGAACCTTAGAAAAAAAATTTTTTTTTTATTACCTGTAGTTAATGATGGATCCTTAAAGTATTTAGCATATAAAATTTTACTAATCATCTATATCTCTTTTTGAGAAACAAAATTTATAGCTCTTTACTTTATTAGAAACAAAAGTTAGGAAATATTATAAATCAATGATTTGAATAATGAAAAACAATTATAGATAGTTTTTTTATAGTTATTAATTTAAAAATTTTAATGTTTCCTAGTAAGGGACATTTGACTTTTGTTCTTGCCTCCCTTTTTAGGGACACATCTTTACTTGTAACATCAAATAAATTAATCCAACTAATTTTTTATTTAAATAAGTATCAAATTGGAATATTTCAATAAAAATATTTAGATTTCAACTTTTTTCTATTAAAGTTTTGTTATTACTTGAAAAACTTAAGTAAAAAACAAAAATTTGCAATTCATATTACTTATTACTTAATATTTTGATATTATAGATATTTTCATTAAGAGACTTGAGCTTTTGGAGATAACTATTTTTAAAATATTCTTTTCAATAATCAATAATATCATTAAAATATATGAATATAATCAATAGAAGTTTATTTATATTTTAAAAACCAATATATTTCATGTCAACTAATTACCTTTGATGAGAATTTGTGTTATTAAAAATTTAGAGCCCAACAGAAATAGACAAAATTTCTTAGAAAATCATAAAGTAGATATTTTAAGAGGACTAGTATAGTTTAAAAGAAAAAAAATAAGTCTTTTAACTGCAATAAAATCTTTATAAATCTCACACTTAAAAGATTAAAAGAGTCTTTAAGTATTTTACAATCAGTTCTTCTTTTTTTGAAAACTTTCTTATTATTGATATCAAAGGTGTTACTTGATTTTTCTTGATTACTGAAAGTCAAATTTTTGAATAAAAAGATTTGTAAATAATATAAGAAGAGTAAAAATTATTTTTGAAGTCAAACTTCAAGTTGTTTTAATAAAAGAAATAAGACTTTATTAGCAAAAAGTAAAAAACTTCTTGTAAATATTTTTTTGTATATGGTTAGAGGATCAATGCAAAAAGTTGTCAATTAAATATGAATATATCATTTCTATTTATAATATTTTTGACCAATTTATTTTATTTAAATATAAATATCAAATTAACAAGATTTTTATAAATATTTGATTATAGTTTCTTTAAATTATAATTATAATATATAATTAAAATTTAACAAATATATGAATTTTGACAAAAATAAAAAATAATAATTTTTAATGATTTAGTTTGAAAAATATATAAGCAGAAATACTGTATGTTAATATCAAATTATATAAATTAATGATTTATTTATATCAAATTATATAGTAGAAATTGATTATAATTTATTTGATAAATGTTACATGAGTCATTATATCAAATAAATATTTTTTAGTATATATCTGATAACAAAAAAAAAAAAGCTACAAACTATCTAATGTTTACTTTTAAAAACATTCATTAATCTAGAAATGCTTTGTAGAAAAAATCAAAAAACAGTTTTTTGTGACCAATTAAAAAAAAAAAATGAAAGAATTTTACAAACTTATCTTTTATCATTTCAATGTCAGGTACAAGAATTAATAGGAGAAAATTGATTTTTTAGAAAGATAATATACCAATCCATACTTTGAGTGACTTAAAAATAACCTTATTGGAAGAGTGGAAAATTTTAATACTTCTATTCTCCAGAAAATTTTATACTCAATACCACGAAGAATTGTTGCAAAGGACGGGCATGCATGCAACTTATAAAGTAAAATAAAACGTGCAATTATAAAATCGCTTTACTTTTTGAGAAGCAAACGAAAATTACTATTCTAATGATTGATTTGCTACATCGGACATATCGATATACGTTATATGCGTATATTGAGTAATTTATAAATGCAATTGTCTGTCATGTGATTGATATGCGAAATGCGAAATGAGCCTAATTATGCTACGTGAGTTGTCAATTGGTAGGTACCTTTATTTAAAGTACATGAATCTAACAGGATGCACACACAAAGTCGAATTAACACATAAAAATATTATTATGCTGAAATTAAGTTCTTTTGCCGCCTAACCCATTGATCACCTCTTTTTTTTGTATTTTTCCATTTTTGATTGATACGACTTGGCCAAATTTCTTCCCTAGATCCATCAAAAACGTGTCAATATCCTTACTGAACCCCGTGAACAATCCAGTTATTTTGGCCAAGGTTTTATGAACACTGGTATGTTCAATGATGGTTACCCGGGTAATATCCTTGCTTACTTGCTCGAGATGAATGGTCCAGGAGCCGCTAATGTACATGCCCTTTTCGCGGACGATCTATTGTAATGATCAACAACAATAATAATAATAATTCAACCAAAACGTACATATTATAAAATGAATAATTTTCGAAATCTCATTTGACGCGTACCTCTCTCTTCAATAACTTACCCTCCCAACGTTCGACTATGCGATATTTGATATTTCCATGTGAAGAAAATTCGCGAAACCATTCAAACCCGTCGGGCTATGTAATATACAAGTAATTATTGTATTATTCATTTAAGACCTGAACCTATCAACAAATAAATCAGTTCAAACCGGAATATGACCCGGTAGGTTCGTCTCGACTTTTGTCACATTTGACCTCCACCGTGGGTACGCACCAAATTCAACCAGAGCATTCCACAAATTAGAGATTGGCTGTGCATATTCTGCGGTTCGGCTGCACACATGTTCTTTGGGTAACAAGAAAACAATGAGCATGAGAAACAAGACGGTGATGGGGCCAACAGCGTGCATTGCGTTGGAAGAAGGTAAGACGGTAAGGAGATGGTGCGCCATGACGTCAAAATTAGACGGAAATTCTGACAATGGAAACATGGTTGTAAATGGTTGTACGCGAAAAATGTTAAAAAAATACAAAGAGAGACGCGTTTGAATTGTTAATTTATTTTATTCTTGAGATTTTTATTTGGTGAAAAGCACAAGAATATATGCAAGAATAAAGTTATTCTAGATCTGCAGAATTTCGCGAACAATAACTTTATTTTGTTGTGGCGTAGATCATTACGTATTTATAGTTATCAGTTATCGCAGCAATAAAATGACGCACTGTACGCAGTATATTTTAAATTCAAAAAATAATTAGTCGAAGCAATATATAAATTTAAATTACAGTATATTAAAATTAATCCAGGCAAAATTATTTAATGTTTAAAAAAAATTTTATATATGTGGTCACAAATTTTAAAAATTAAAACATGACTTGTTTTTTTTTTTTTTATCCTCTGTCAGGTTAGTTATGTGTATTTTATTAAACATTTGTAAGCTGTACATATTAAATAAAATGCTAAAGCTAAATCTTTAACTAACTCACTCATTTTGATTGTATTACCTCTCTAAGTGCAACTTCGGGAATGATTTATCACTCTATTAGAGGTTCAGGTGAAAACCCATTTAACTTCTAGTATCATTGCCTGTAGGTCACTACTGCAGATCACTCTTTTGAGCTCTGACAAAGATCAAAACCCCAACTACTTCATACCATACTTTACTCCATTTAATAGGATTTCTTCCAAGTTCTTGTCTTCGACTCTTTTTTCTTCATATATCAGTTTCTTATTGGATCGACTTTTGGTGATTTTGCCCTTCTTTTTCTGATCACGTGAATGTAATAGTCTTTTTTCTTATTGTATTTGTGGATTTCTAACTTCTGTTTCCATTCAATCACCTTTCACATCTTGCATTCCATATTTTTTTTCAGAAGTGATTACATACTTTTTCTTGTATTTTTATTATTTATTTTCTAGCTTCTTTTCCAATTATCTTGCCATGACATGTCAAATCTACTATATTGATAACTAGTTCTTTCTCTATTAATCCTATACAGAAGCTAAGTATGTCCTAACTGGTTTTTAAGCTTCTTTCTACCAGTTTTGCTATCTATTTGTCAATTTCTTTTATTTCTATCCTATCATCTATTCTCAAGCTTAACTCTTTCTCTTCTGATTCTATTTTTCTTTCTTTTAAAAACTTTTTGAATTCTTTCAAGACTCCTTCTATTCCTTTTTGTCATGCCTTATTCCATCGAGTCTTATAAGTTAGGCATTCTAGCAAGTGTTCTATTGTTTCCTCTTCCTGATCACATGTAATGCATTTCACTTGCTTGTAAAGATCTAGTCTTTTTATGACTAGCTTCGTAAATATTGATAGTTCATCATTGATCAATTTAATGAGAAAGCTTTTGTTTCGTGAGCTTTTAAATGAGGTGTTTTATGTGTGTCTCTTATTAAATGTTTCTATACAAGGTTCCATATATATCTGTGATGGTCTTGAATTTGCTGGTCTCATTTCCTTTCAATTTTACCTTGAGTTGTCTATTGATGGGCTATTATTTTGTTATTAATTTTTTTAATAGCTTGTTTTATAGAAGTATCTAGCACTATATTCTGCTATTTAATTTCTGTGATCATCTTGTGTGAAACCAAATTTTTCTATTTTATTATTGGCAATCTTAGTGTTTCTTTGGTCAGAGTATCTACCTTTTTATTATACTGGATATTGGAGTGTACCTTAACCTTGGTAAGCTTGAAATCCAATTTCTTTTTCTTTATAAGATCCAGTATACGTGTCCACAAGAATCAGTTTTGTTCTTTTAAACATCTTTTGTGAATCATTTTGGGATCCTTCTTTTCTATAGTTTTCTGCTTCGAAATGTAGGCTTGACTATCTGTAAAGATTTCAATCTTGCTATCTATTGGAACTACTAGTAAGATAGTAACTATTGCTACTAGTTCTGCTTTAGTGGATGAAAACCAATTCTCTATTCCAGTTTGAAACTTGCTTTCTCTTCCTGCTTCTTTTATCTGTATCTATACTACTCCCATTCTCATATTTATACTTCCGTGGTTTATAAAAGACCTGTCAGAATAGAATATCATTAGTTCTTTTCTTTGCTTATTATAGTTAAGTATTTCGATCAGATGGGATTGATAGGTACTTTCTTCAACATGATCTTTGATGATATTTGTTTTTCAATCTTCTATTTTCACTTGTAATAATCTTTTATTTTGTGTAGTTACTTGGTTACTGTATATTGTTTTACTTTTGTACCTTCCAATTCTTCTTTGGAACTTAAAATTTCCAGTGATTGTGATTTTCTGGTAGACTTTTTTGCAGTGAGATAAGGGACCATATGTATTTTTTCTATACTTATTTCAATTATATATCAGTCTTCTATCTTTATATCTTCTGTGCAATCTTGACACTAGATTAGCTTTGATTCTTGATTTTTAATAGGACTAATATATTCAAAATACTCTATCTTTAGCTATCTTGAAGTATTGTCTAGAATCAATTTTCCCCAAATTATCTGTTGCTATTGAAATTTGCTTCTTGTAACCACCTAGAGTTTCTGCTGCTTGTCAAAGTTAATATTGAGAATGGGATGTTCTGGGTTCCATTTTATCCATTCTTTTTTTTAGAATTCTATAAGCTGTTTTAATCTATTTTTTTGCATTATCTTGGTTATAGATAGATACCATTCTGGAATAGGTCCTTTGCTTGTGTTCTGTAGCAGTTGGAGCATTTGCCAGCTTCATAATTCTCTTGTTTTGTGAACAACTAGCTGGTCTATATACATTAGTTTATTGTTTCTGAGTGATGGAATTGCTTTCTTGTACTCTTCTATCAGCAG